TTTTTATTAATATATATAAATAATTTAAAACACTAATTTATTTAAAAATATGTATCAACATGTATATCATGGTACATAAATATTTCACATAAACTTGCTGTAATTTTTGACCCTTAGTCGACTTTTATTAATATATATAAATAATTTAAAACACTAATTTATTTAAAAATATGTATCAACATGTATATCATGGTACATAAATATTTCACATAAAGTTACTGCAATTTTTGACCCTTAGTCGACTTTTAATAAAAGAGTCGACTCTTTTTCCAAAAGAGTCGGCTCTTAAAAGAACAGAGTCGACTATACCCACCACTGGGAACTTTCCTTGCTCTCTGGAATTTGGTAGTCAAATCTTGGAGGCATTAGAGTCGACTCTTTATGTATAGAGTCGACTCTAACCTGCAGCAGGATGCTCGAACCTCTTTGGAATTTGGGAGTCGAATGTTGATCCTATATAGTCGACTCTTGGAGGGTTTAGAGTCGACTCTAACCTGCAGCAGGATTCTTGAACCTCTTTGGAATTTGAGAGTCGAATGTTGATCCTATATAGTCGACTCTTGGAGGATTTAGAGTCGACTCTTCATTCATAGAGTTGACTCTAACCTGCAGCAGGATGCTTGAACCTCTTTGGAATTTGGGAGTCGAATGTTGATCCTATATAGTCGACTCTTGGAGGATTTAGAGTCGACTCTTCATTCATAGAGTCGACTCTAACATGCAGTAAGATTCTCGAACCTTTCTAGAATTTGGGAGTCAAATGTTGCTTTTGTATAGTCGACTCTTTATGTACAGAGTCAACTCTAACTTGCAGCATATGCTCGATGGAATTTGGTAGTCCAATGTTGCTCTTATACAGTCGATTCTTGGAGAGTTGATAGTCGATTCTTGATGTATATAGTCGATTTTAACATGCCTCAACTTTTGTACTTGTTCTTACTTGTCACGCACCAGAACCCAAATTCGGGAACGTTGCAGATGCCGTGTACTCGTGAGAGGGTCCCACAAATGCACAAGGCTTGGAACTTATCATATCACAATTTGATACCATCAAAATCTAAAGATCAAATTATAAGATTTTCTCTCATATCATAAATCTCCAATATAGTCTAACTTACAAGATCATGATTTATATCTAAATCTAAATCAATCTCGAAATGGTTAGCCTTCTAACCCGTCACTTCCCATGGTTTCCCCGTCCTTGGTTTCGCTTCCTGAAATGGTGGACAAGGACAAACTATGAGATAAACTTAGTAAATAAAATATGGAGTGCCCCTTATTAAACTTATAGCATGCCAAGAAGTATAATTAGAAAAACGGATACAAGTACGGGAACGAAATAGACGTCTCCTCCATAGGTCACGGCCAGTGTTATAAACCTCCCATTGGCAGGCTACAGAAATTACTAGTGTAAAATCCCACTAGCAGGATTACAGAAATACCAGTGTTTAACAACTCCCACTGGCAAGAAGAACCGGCTCTACAGAAATACATGTCGACATGTGCTAGTGTTTAACCCCCACTAGCAGGGTTATCAATAACATAATCACATCGGAGACAAAACAGGTAAAAGTTAACAGAAAAATCATAATTCACCAATCACTTTCAAATCATTAGGACAATCAATTAAATTTCAAGTAGGCATGCTCAATTTAATAAAAAGCATAAAATTTCACTTCAAATCAATCATGCCCGTGTAAAATGGGTTTAGTCTCGCCATCACTTCAAAAATAAATCAAAACATGCTTTTAAAAACTATACGGCATTACCATAAATTTACTTACCTCACCCGCATAAAACCGAAAACTCGATCTCAGTGCTAAGCTGACAGAACGATCAGGAACCTAATCAAAATATTCAAGAATTAATTACCGTACTATCACATATTCACTTTGAAATCATCATTAAGACTACCCTTAATCACGATGCTATTCCTATCAATCTCCACATAATCAAATATCTCCAAATTTGTTCTTATATCACAAACTAAACATTTAAATCCTCGTTAATTGTTGGCCATCGATGCATGAACAGTGACCCGTGAACAGTGCTCGTAAACAGTGCTCACGCCGTGAACAGTAACTGCACTTCCAAAAATTGGCCAAAACACTAGCTAATTCACGGGATTTTCTCTCTAAAAATCACAGCAACCAACTCAAGCAATTTACACTTAAATTAAACAAAAACCCACTTGAATTAGTGCTTAAATCTCATCCTAAAGCTACCAGAATTATCCCCTAATTTAGCAAACATTTGGACAGCTTATGGGGCAGTAAATAAATGGACAATTTCAGGCTTAAATGGCTGTCACATACCAGAATTTGCAAGCAAAAACCGAACTGCAGGTTGGGGGAAGGCCGGCGGCAAGTGCAGGGGACTCACGGGCTACCCAAAATTCAAGAACCAAGAGCAATTAAGGTAAACCCAAGGCAATTCAAAGCTAAAGAGATGGAGTACATGGCTGTGGCTTACTAGAATTTGAAGAATTTCGCCCCCACAACAAGAGCAGCCGGCGAACAGAGCAAAGCAGATCCGGATTTTCCAGCAGGGGGAAGAATTTCTGGATTCTACATGTGTTTTAGAGCAAGAAAAGAAGGAGAAATCCAAGCTTCTCACTGGTTTTTCAAGAGGAGGCTGTCGAGGGCCTGGGTCTTCTTCGGCTGCAGGGGAAACGGGAAAGAAGAAGAGCAAAATCAGGCTGAGCAGAAAGAGGAAAAGGAGAAAAAGAAACAAGCCATCCTTATCCAATTTCTACTCTTTTAAGCCCCTCAACTTTGGATAATTTGGCTATTAAACCCAAAACAATATTTTCTCACACTTAAACCCCTAACTCACACTTATTCATTCTAGAAAATTTTGGGGTATCACATCCACCCCTCCTAAAAAAGAGTTTTGTCCCCAAAACTCAAATTGAGGATCATCTAGATTGGTGAATGGCTTCACACAATCCAAGGCAGAACAAATGCTCCACCAACTCTTTATGATCAGAACCTAACCTACTATACTTCCGCTGCGCCACTCTGATATCAAATCAAAACTAATCTTAGAAAGCAGAACACTAACTACTTAACAGGATTACCATGGAATGAGCTACTAGAGGCTGGGGTGATATGGGAAGCACAAGGAATAAAACTAAATCCTGCCAAAGCCACAAAAGAACAATTGTGGGGTTACGCTACGAACCCAACACAAGACGAGTTGGCAAAGAATGGCATGGATTTAAAGACAAGTACAACAAAACTTTGAACTCTATCAAAGACGGATAAGCATCCAATGGATATATGGATCATGAATGAATGAACAAGTGCATGGATGTCTTATAAATTCTGCCACAACAAGGTTAACCAATAAGCAAGGTCATGTTTAACAAAGCAACTGGAATCAAGAAATAGATTTTTAGCAATTAACAAGAGTTAAAAGCTAGACCCATCAAATGACATGTGAAAGTTCCAGAATAGCATCAGAATGAAATTAGTGAAAAGTATGAATGCTTGGAAGAATACTGGAACATAAGAGTGCAGGGTAGAATGCCTCAAAAAATTCAAGAACAAAACGACATTCACCAAGAATCAAGATCAAATTTAACCAAGCAATCAAAATTGAGAGACAAGAGTTAACAATGAAATAAGCAATAGAATTCAAGGATTAGGCCCACAAAAGAGATTTCAATAATGACAACTAGAACACGAATTCAAGAGCAGATATAACCAGCATGTTAAGATCTAACACCCCAAGTAACATGAATTAATTAAAAGAATAATCAATAGTGGGGATCAAGATACTTAGAAGATTATTGTCTTCTAATTAAAGGCCAAACAAGAATCTAAGCAGTCAAATAAAAGAACAATTTTAGTTGAAACAAAACTCTAGGACATCAAGTGTTCAAAGACTACCCCTTCACCTCGTAGCTCATGGAGGCTAAGCAGATTTACAGTCAAGTCATCCTAGAGTCAAGTCAAAGATAAGACATCAAGGATACAAAGATGAACACTTGCAAGAGACAAGAATGAGGATGCCTCATATAAGTATTTTCCAATAATCATCACCCCTCCTAAGAGGTGTCCATATGAACAAAATAAAAAATCAAGAAGATCACAGGTATACTAAAACAAGAACTAGCAAAATATGCAGGATCGAGCAAAAGCAGTATACAGAATTCGAACAAGAGCAGTATATAGAATTTGAGCAAGAGCAAGGGTCAAGACAAGAATGGTTTTCAAGGATAATTCAAAATAGATTCCAAAAACCAAATATCAATTGATTTTCAAGAATAGATTCCAAGAACAGTGCAAGAATTAATTTCAGACAAGTATCAAGATAATGAGGATTTCAATAATCATTATCCATTTCTGGATTTCAGTTTCAAGAACAAGTACAAAGCAATATCAAGAAAGATTCAAGATGGATTTTAGGAGTTTCAAGCAGTTCCAGGTAGCAAAAATGTAAAGATTAGCAACAATAGAGAGTTTAACTTTATGACAACTTGCCAATCTTCACAAAAACTTGGCAATTTCAATTGAATGATCACTATTTTTTTGATTAACCAATATAGAGAAATGAGTCACATGAAAAGACTATGAAGCTCCAAATGGAAAAAAGTGAAATTTCGCTACAAGACTTTCAGAAAGATAATGAGCAACGAGATTACCAAGTTATCCAACTCTAAAACACATCTAGAAAACACACAACATTTGCTAAAATAGCCTTGAATCTCTTACAAAGTAGAGGGTTGCCCATCTTCCACTGGTCATGTGACAAACAGAACAAATTCTCAACCAGCTATGCTATAGAGACCAACAGAATCAATAACAAAAATCTCTGCAACTCCCCAGATTTTACAATGGTGGCAAAAGTGCATACAAAATTCTATTCAAGTAACATGTCTAAACAAGTGCAGACTATCAGAAAATGACCAAGTTTCCAAACAAGGTCTTAGGAACATGGCGGACAAGATTAATTTCCTGAATATACACAGGGTATGAAGGTAGGAAACAAGAACAATCAGATTACCATCTCATCAAAATGGATTAGAGAATTCAGGCAACATGAATCAGAATCGTCCCTTATATAACCTCATCACTCGTCTCACCGTGGTTCTAAAATCCATTGGCTAGCCAAGTCCAAAACAAATCCTAGGTATTCAATTAAACCTAGATATTTAATTAAATCCAAGCTCGATACCACTCAATCTGCTCTGATGCCACTCAATCTGGAGGTGCTTAATTTAATTTCAACCTAAGCTCTGATACCACAAAATCTCTAGATATCTAATTTAACCTAAGCTCTGATACCACTAAGTCTCCAAATACACTCGAGTTTACAAGATCATAATTTATTTCTAAAATCTATATCAATCTCGAAATGGCTAGCCTTCTAACTCGTCATTTCCCGTGGTTTTCCCGTCCTCGGTTTCGCTTCCTGAAATGGTGGACAAGGAAAAACTATGAGATAAACTCAATAAGTAAAATATGGAGTGCCCCTTATTAAACTTATAGCATGCCAACAAGTATAATAAGAAAAAACGGATACAAGTATGGGAACAAAATAGACGTCTCCTCCATAGGTCACGGCCAGTGTTATAAATCTCCCACTGGCAGGCTACAGAAATTACTAGTGTAAAATCCTACTAGCAGGATTACAGAAATACCAGTGTTTAACAACTCCCATTGGCAGGAGGAACCAGCTCTACAGAAATACAGAAATACATGTCGACATGTGCTAGCGTTTAACCCCCACTAGCAGGGTTATCAATAACATAACAACATCGAAGACAAAACAGGCAGAAGTTAACAGAAAAATCATAATTCACCAATCACTTTCAAATCATCAGGACAATCAATTAAATTTCAAGTAGGCATGCTCAATTTAATAAAAAGCATAAAATTTCACTTCAAATCAATCATGCTCATGTAAAACGGGTTTAGTCCCGCCACCACTTCAAAAACAAATCAAAACATGCTTTTAAAAACTATACAGGCATTACCATAAATTTACTTACCTCACTCGCATAAAACCGAAAACTCGATCTCAATGCTAAACTGACAGAATGATCAGGAACCTAATCAAAATATTCAAGAATTAATTACGGTATTACCATAAATTTACTTACCTCACTTGCATAAAATCGAAAACTCGATCTCAATGCTAAACTGACAGAATGATCAGGAACCTAATCAAAATATTCAAGAATTAATTACGGTATTATCACAAATTCACTCTGAAATCATCATTAAGACTACCCTTAATCATGATACTATTTCTATCAATCTCCACATAATCAAATATCTCCAAATTTGTTCTTATATCACAAACTAAACATTTAAATCCTCGTTAATTGTTGGCCATCGGTGCATGAACAGTGACTTGTGAACAGTGCTCACGCCGTGAACAGTAACTGCACTTCCAAAAATTGGCCAAAACACTCGCTAATTCACGGGATTTTCTCTCTAAAAATCACAGCAACCAACTCAAGCAATTTACACTTAAATTAAAAAAAAACCCACTTGAATTAGTGCTTAAATCTCATCCTAAAGCTACCAGAATTATCCCCTAATTTAGCAAACATTTGGACAGCTTATGGGGTAGTAAATAAATGGACAATTTCAGGCTTAAATGGCTGTCACATACCAGAATTTGCAAGCAAAAACCGGACTGCAGGTTGGGGGAAGGCCGGCGGCAAGTGCAGGGGACTCACGGGCTACCCAAAATTCAAGAACCAAGAGCAATTAAGGTAAACCCAAGGCAATTCAAAGCTAAAGAGATGGAGTACATGGCTGTGGATTTCCGAAATTTGAAGAATTTCGCCCCCACAACAAGAGCAGCCGGTGGACAGAGCAAAGCAGATCCGGATTTTCTAGCAGGGGGAAGAATTTCTGGGTTTTACATGTGTTTTAGAGCAAGAAAAGAAGGAGAAATCCAAGCTTCTCACTGGTTTTTCAAGAGGAGGCTGTCGGGGGCCTGGGTCTTCTTTGGCTGCAGGGGAAACGGGAAAGAAGAAGAGCAGAATCGGGTTGAGTAGAAAGAGGAAAAGGAGAAAAAGAAATAAGCTATCCTTATCCAATTTCTACTCTTTTAAGCCCCTCAACTTTGGATATTTTGGCTATTAAATCCAAAACAATATTTTCTCACACTTAAACCCCTAACTCACACTTATTTATTCTAGAAAATTTTGGGGTATCACATTACTACACTTAGATTTGACCATATCACATTACATACATTGTCATTTATCATATCACATATTTTCAATTCATTACATTATTATAAATATGTACCACTTATATAATTCCCTCATCTCTTAATCATAAATTAAAAGATAAGTATATAAGTACCACGTGCAACATTTAACATGACTATTTACATATTCTAAACTTGCAAGTCATAATAATACAGTTAATATTACCACAAACCATTCAATTCCAACTGACATATACAAACATGTCCTAACAAGTTCAAATCACAAACCTAGAAACTAAAAGTATTTTTCTCAAGTATCAAGAACATGCCAAGTTTTGCATTCGCAATCTCATGCACACTGATCATTCCGGCCCAAATGGACTTTGGTAATATGCATCAAATCTTGGCTAGTAACCATAATCATCTTGTGGGGGATTGGTTGAAGATGTACCTGGAGATCCTGATTGTCTCCCCATTTGGCCCATGGGGAATGCAGGTTCTATTGGCATTTGCATTGGCATTGCATGAGGAAATGATGGCCCAACAGTAGGGAATGATGTCCCTACAAGAGGAAATGCTTGCCCAGTGTGAGGCAATGATGGGGTAACAGTAGGCGAGCGCATCCCATAGGCACTAAAAGCAACAAATTGCAATTGCTGTGATAGAGATGCCTGCATCCTCCCCATGTCTTCCAGCATCCGTTGCATTGCTTCTCGTTGCTCTTTGACTTGCCCTATTTCGTCTCGCATCATTTGCATTGCCTCCCTATCTTTGGCTTGTTTTTCAGCCATGTCTGATATCATTAGGCTTACATATGAAGTCCCCGTTGGTTGTCGTTTTCTATATGTAAACCCAAGTTCCTCTGGGTTTACCTGTGAACCAATTCCTGGCATGAAATTGCTGTGGCATCCCCCAACAGCAGTTGCCCAAGCGTCATTGTCCCGAGGTGGCCATGATGCTGAGTCCGAGCCATATGTAGCAGAGCACTCACTGACATATGTATCCTACAAAAGTAATGCAAAAAAAACTACAACATATAACTGCAAATTTTTAAATGTTGTATACACATAACAATACTAAAAATGTAATCATTATTATTTACGAACAAGTGATAACAAGGTAACAATCATTGAGAGACAATCAATACCAAAAAAAAATTGTTTCATTAACAACTACACAGACTAATACTCATGCAAATTTTTGTTATATTTTATTTAACACCACTAATTTTATTAATAAACATTTTATTCACTTTTTCTAACAATCTATGTCACTTATAGAAATCTTTTTATTTAGTATGTTCACACTTATATGTCGAGTCTTATGTTTGTCACCACACCATGGAGCTTCTTGTCCTTGGGGGACACCTTTTCGTAAAGTATGTGTTTCCTTGTATAGCTCTTGGTGTGCTGGCCTTACCCCCTCCAGCAGCTTTGGTCTGTGTGTTACAACCATATTATACGAGGTTAGCAAGTTATTATATTTATAGTTAATCGATAATTATACAAAAATAATATAACTTGTGTTGATTATCTATTATATATATATACACTTTTCTTTCTTTTCTTACTTACCATTCGTTCTTCATGTATATCAAAACTTACTAATCCTGTAGTGTGTGTAACTTGTTCCCCAGATGCTCGGTTTTTCTTCCCTCTCTCGCTAAGATTGTGAAACTCAGCAGAATCCCAATAAGCGCATAATGTAGGCCATAGGTGCTCAGGCACCCATACCGGCCTATACTCACCGTTTGCACGCCACTTATCCCGTTCATCCTTCATATTATCACCCCATCTTTTCTTCATTGATCTTAAGAATGCCTTTTGGACTGCATCCTCATCCTCTAAACCCCATTGATAATGTGTCTGTCACCACATACAAATAAATTATTTCCATGTAACTTAATAACATATAGTATAATAACACATGTATATACATCATATCCCATTTTTTCATATATACTTAATTACCATTTTGTCCATATGAAAGAGCTAATTGAAATGAATCAAAACTTTTAATACTTTATTGACAAACTCAAAATTATAAGGATTTTTGTGTCATATGATGACTATTATAATACCATATTGTTTTACCAAAGTCATATGATGACTATTTTCTTTTCTTCTTCTTTTTTTTTTTTTTTTAAGTGTATGTAGTATTCATACCATTAAATTACCTACATCGACCAATACACCAACAATAGTGACTTATACTTTATCATATATGTTGTTACGTTATCATTAATCATACGCTACATTTTTTATGGAAGGATTATGTATGAAATGATAATTACTCTTACCTTAAACAACTCCCACACTTGCAACCTTTTCTGTTCTGGGAACAAGTCATAGGTGAAGTAATTACCATCATAAACCCTTTTCCATAGGGTCGTAATCAATATGGGGACTTCAACATCCAAGAAGGTGCCTTTATGCGAAATTTGTATAAATGGTCTTTCATTTGCTCTTCTTGCAGCCCTTTTTGGTTTGTTTGGACCTCTTCCCTTCTGCTTCCCATTATGGGATGAGGCTGCTGCATAAATAGAACCTTGTGGACTAATAGACCGAGTATGCCCCGCGTCCAATACTGGGGTAACGTCACATGCAAGATCTACAGAGTTGTGACGTCCTCGTCTCCCTAATGTGCTACGACTATGCGCGGAGTTGATGGATCCACCTGACATCCTGCAAAACATATGGTCACATAAAGTATGTTAGTACTAATGTCACCAAATAAATATATGTGCAGTTTATAAATTTTTTATTTATAAACATTTACAACATCATAAATAATGGCAATGAAACAAAATTTGAAGAAATAGTCATTAGTCATTTATAAGTATATTTGTTAATTACGAAGTTTTATACATAAAATTTATATTTTTAAATGACAACCAAATTTTAAAACTATGATTGTACATGAACTTCAATTATTTAATGACTCTTCAGTCTCATTACTATTGTCACCAACATCGCCTCTTGTTTCATTTCCTTCATTTCCTTCACTCGGATTTTCATCAACATCATCATTTGCTTCTCCATTTAAGTCAACCATTGCATCGACCAAATGTCTAGCACGTATTTTGCATGCGGCGAACCATCCATGAGTTGCTCGATTATCTGATGGGTAACTACTGTAATACAATTGTGTTGCTTGACACGCCAAGCAAAATGGCTCGCCGATCGACAATTGATATCGTGGGTTGACCTCAACAATGTTGTAAACTTGGTTAATGCGTGTTCCCTTACGTGTATCGAACCAATCACAATTGAATAAGACAATTGTCTGCATTTGCGCATGTGGTCCATAATACAATAGTTCGATGACTTCGTTAAGGATGCCATAATAATCAGTCTCAGCATCATCAGATATGGTTGTTCCTTTCACACATGCACCATAGTTATATATTTGTCTTTCACTATTGGCTTTTTGGGTCATAAATCTAAAATCATTGACATAATAACCTCTGTACACATTCACTGTCCATGATGGACCCAGTGCAAGGTATTGCAAAATCTCATTCCCTTCATGATAGCCATTTAACACCTACCAAATTTATATGTACGTGTTATTAGTCAAATTTATAATATTTTCGTTAAAAACTCAATTAGTTAATATATTGTTTATGACTATATATGTATATGTATATAATAATATTTGAAACAACATGACACGATAAAAAATATTGTTTACCCTATCTTTGAACCACATAACAAAACTTCTAGTGTGTGCTTCGTGTGGAGTAAAAAGAGTCATATATACACCAACTTCTCGATCAAAGATGCTAAAATATGGAAATAATTATGTGTGACCAAAAAATGGAATGTTGAACTTTCCTGCTATGATTCAGCAAGCTTACTCTAAAAATTTAATAAAAATGAGTTTAGTTTGTCATATCTCACCTAAGAAGCGCATCAACTTCCCTACAGTTTAGTAAGATATAAAGTTCAACTGCCTTCATCTCTTGAGTGGTTAGACAACATGTCTGTGAATGTGAACCCATTGGATGACCAGGGCATGCAAATATCAAGAATTCTATGTTCCTATAAAATGGAACTGCTGCAAAGTTCTTTGGGGGCTTACTCCAACTTGTTTCAAGATCCGCACCAAAATATTGTGAGCAAAATCCTGTTATTTCATTGAGAATGTATGCTTCGACAATAGATGCCTCAACATGATTCTTGTTCCCTATTGTTTATTTAAGTTTGTGCATTTGTCTGTAAAATTTGAAATTAGATATGAGCATAACAAATTATTATAGATTCTGTTATACTTGAAACTAGTGCATGAAACTAGTGCAAACTTGTTTCCATTACCGTTCAAATGGGTACATTCATCGAAATTGTACTGGCCCACCAATTCGCACCTCGAAAGGAAGATGGATTGCTAGGTGCTCCATACAATCAAAAAATGACGGCAGAAAGATTCTTTCTAACTTACATATTATTTCAACTATCTTCGTTTCCCAAACTACCATGTCTTTTATGTTGACATTTGGGGAACATAGTGCATAGAAGAAATTACTGACTTCTATTAATGGACCTCATATAGAATCCAGTAACAAGCCACAGAAAGTAATTGGAATGAGGCGTTGCATGAATATGTGGCAATCGTGACTCTTCAATCCAACTAAACGTAGCTCAGCTAAGTTCACACAACGTGTGATATTAGATGCAAACCCATCTGGAAATCGCACATTTTTGAGCCATGTACATAGACATCTTTTTTTATCCGTGTCCAGTGCATAACTTGCATTTGGCATGCAAAGCGACCCAAAACTGTCATAGTACAAGTGTAGTTCTTCCCTATCACAGTACAATGGTAAGTCCATTCTTGATTTAACATTATCTTTTGAGGACGAGTCATTCATGATTGTGTGTATGATGTTATCAAAAAAATTCTTCTCACAGTGCATGACATTAAGATTGTGTCTGATCAGGTTATCCCCCCAGTATAAGAGTTCCCAGAAGATATTCCGTTTGACCCAATTGTGTGTTTCATTGAACCCGGGAATAGTTTGGTTTACTGATGAATTTCCAAATAAAACATCAGGTAGTGCAGCAACTCAAAGTCGAACGGAATGACCATCTAATCGTGGAGGAGGGGGCCCAAATTCTAGGTGGCCCTTAAGGAATTGAGATGCATCCATTCTGTATGAGTGTGATGCAGGAAGAAATTGTCGATGACAGTCAAAGAAGCAGATCTTGCGACCATGCTGCAAGTAAAAAGCACGAGTCATTTCCATGCAATATGGACAAGACAGACGACCATGCGTGCTCCATCCAGAAACCATACCATAGCCGGGGAAATCTATTATGGTCCACATAAGCCTGGCTTGCATTGTGAAGTTCTGTTTATAAAAGCTGTCAAATGTTTCTACCCCCGACGACCCTAACCGTTTCAAGTCATCAATAAGTGGATGGAGGAAAACATCAATGTTTTTTCCTGGACTTTTTGGTCCAAAAATAATGAGTATAAGGAATGTAAACTCAGGTCGCATGCACATCTTAGGAGGAAGATTGTAAACAACAATGAAACAGGCCAACAGGAATATGACCTCGAAGAATGACCCCACGGGTTAAACCCATCTGTTGCAAGACCAAGACGGACATTTCGTGGATCGGATGCAAATGAAGGATGAACGGCATCAAAGTGCTTCCAAGCAGTAGACTGAGCAGGATGAATGAGGATCTCCGAGTCAACACGACATTTAAGGTGCCATGTCATATGTTCAGCAGTTTTACGAGACATGTATAGCCTCTGTAGGCGTGGAATAATAGGTAGATACCATAAAGAATTCTTGGGCCTACCCTTTTTTTGAGTTTGAACTGAGTTGCATTTTTTATACCTAGGTTCACCACAAACTAGACAAGCAATAAGTGACTTTGCCTCATCACCATAATACAGAAAGCAGTTGTTGACACATGCATCAATTTTAACATAGCCTAAACCTAAGTTTTTCATGAATTTTTTTGCTTCAAAAAAATTTGACGGTTTTTGCTGTTCTTCTGGACTTAATAATTGCCTACAGCCCTGAATGATGTCATTGTAACCAACACCAGTTATGTTGTTTTTGGCTTTGCAGTGCAGCATATATGATAACCATCCAAGCATTGTTTGATTATTAGATGATGGTCCAAGTGGGATGGTTGAAGCACGCAACAAGTCATAAAAAGATTGTGCATGTCTATTTGGCGCATCCCCAACATTTTCAGATGCGAACTCTGTTTCATTTCTAGGGTGATTATTTTCAGATGGACAGAATGCATCATAAACCATGTGATGGATATCATCCTCAGCATTAACATGTTCCTCAATATTAACATGTTCCTCAATATTAACATGTTCCTCAATATTACTTGAGGATGCCACATCACTTGTAGCTAACCATGGATCAACATTGTTACTTAAAGTTTCACCATGTGCCCACCACACAGAATATGCATCTATGAAACCATATTTCAACAGATGGTCTGTTACAATTGCTTTGTTGTGGTGAGGTAAATTTTCACATTTACTATAGGGGCAACGAATTTCGGCTTTCAAGTGAACACCAGGACGACTATAGACGAAATCAAAAAATTGTTGTAATCCATTAAAGAATTCGGCATCACAATTTCCACGAGGATCTCGTCGTCTATACATCCAACGATGATCATCTGTTATCTTTAACTGAATAATACAATTAAGATTTTAAGTAAATTAAATCATTATTAAGGTAATAATAGTAATTATATATGTATGTGTAATAGACAAAGAAATGGGAAAACATAGCAACTAGTGCATAAAGGTTGCAAACACTATTTTCAAATTGGACTGGCTTGATCGGTTCAATCAATTGAACCAAAACCGATTCTATAAACGGGTCGGTTTATGATATTTATCCGTTGAAGGTCAAACCTGGTCAAAACCCGATCAAACCAGTGAAACCCATTCAACTCGGTTAACTCAATCAACCAGATCAAAACATTTTTTACATTTTCAATTTATTCTTTATTTTTCTTAAATTTTTATTTTCTATGTTGGTAATTAATAGATAATATAATAATTAAATTGTAAAATCTATTTAAAATCAAATCACAATTAAGGAATGAAATTTTTTAAATTTATTTA